AATCCCTCATAACTATCTCCTCCTCTCAATACGATTCGATCCGGCACGTTCATCATCTGCATGAGGCGTTCCCGTTGCGGTATGTTTTGATTCTACAAATTGATAGTGATAAGAAAATCGATAAAATGCGTGCTTTGGTGTGGTCAGCTAACCTCGTAACCGAGACTTTTCAGTGGCTCGCCGGTGACTGAAATGTGCTCAGGTACAATCATGGCCCTAAAACATCTTTGAAAAATTAAGTCCAAGAGCACGGCCTCATACTAGATACGGGTAGCCCTACAAAAAACAAAGTTCCCGAGCGCACTGGTTACCCTTCACTGCCTACTGCCCAAAAGCCCTGCCGGCTTTTTCCAAAAATTTGCTTGTGACAGTGGGTTTGACTAGAAAGTTGAGGGTGTGGTTCGCTATGACAGAAATCGGCTTTTCGCGTTTCGCGGTGCGAACCATTTTTAGCTGCAGGAACCTCGAGTTCACTGCTGACATGAGTAGACCCGCCCCGACTGCCACAACACATCGGATCACCACATTCATTGGCAGCTTGTCGTCAGGGGTAGTTTTACCCGTAGAGGATGATAGCGCCGGCGCCTGCGCTAGCGCGCCGAGTCACCGGCGAGCCACTGAAAAGTCTCGGTTACGAGGTTAGCTGACCACACCAAAGCACGCATTTTATCGATTTTCTTATCACTATCAATTTGTAGAATCAAAACATACCGCAACGGGAACGCCTCATGCAGATGATGAACGTGCCGGATCGAATCGTATTGAGAGGAGGAGATAGTTATGAGGGATTTGAAGCGGAACCATCAGAGCTGATGGCGGACCACATTAACCACATAAACAAGGTCTGTTTAATTTGCCGTCACAAATTAAAGTGGGCAGATCCGCAGTCTGAGAGCAGATTCCCCACTTTTATTCGCTTGTGAAGAAGTAGGTGAAACTGAATACGCAACCTCGCGACAACACTAGGCGTGTGGTTTTAAGGTTGCGTTTTTGGTTACACCTACTTCTCCACAAGCACAATCTGGCTGAACTTTTCACGAAGCCATGCTCAACCTGAGTGCTTGGTTTGCACTTGGGAATAGGCTGCTTTTTAGATTCTTTTAGAATATCACTGAATAACCCTCATCAAGATTGTTTTAGAATGAACTTCAAGATTTGCCTAACACGATAACTCTAGCAGAAAGCCCTTACTTGGATAGAGAAGAAACTAATGTAATTTTTGTCTCATTTTATTTAATTGCTGGGAGCTTATTTAATTCGGAACTATTGGTTATTTTCAAACTTGATTGTTCAGGATGAACCGGTTCGTAGTGAGAACTCCATCGCAATTGAAGAAAATCCACTTCAGGAATTGAAATTAATGCGTCGTCAGATTGGTGATTTTTAATCTTTTGAATCGATTGTAGTTTCTCCTCTGACGGAGGGAATAGCATCTAAGGGAACTATTTAATGGCAGAGCGTGATCATTCGATCAGGGGCAGTGTCCCGTTTTCCGCAGGAGCGATAAACGTTACAGTCTTGTCGTTTATCGCACACCTTCCTACTTCCTTTTTATTAGGTTGAGTTACAAGTAATGTCCTCTTCCACCACCAACATTCAAAACATGTCAACTTTCTCTATAATCAAATTGATTAGATGCATTTCTTATCTCAGCTTCCTGCAACTATTCTTCATCTATCCGCAAGCGAGTTGATATCTGTTAGACAGAATTCCGCAATCTTCGACGCAAAGAATGGTCCGGCAGGGTGAATAACGGTCGAGGAAATCCTCGACAGGGGGTCGTATTTGCTCCGATGAGAGTTGGGAGGGGGTCGTAATCAAAAGGTTCATCAACGGACACAACGGTGCTGCTGCCACTTATTTGCTGTCATCATTACTTTCACAAGTGTTGTAGTTAGCCTAATGCAAATAATATCTTACACCTGTCTGGAATTAAAATTCAAATGGAAAGTGGTGTTGGTTTGGTTCGTAGTGATCAGTGTGGCATAGGAAGGCAACGCGTCCTGCAAAAGAATCGTAGGGAAAGGGCAGCGAGTATCTACTCTAGAATGATGCACATGCTTTGAAGCACTTAGTGGAGAAACACATCTTGGTGTAGATAAATCTCAAACAGCAGAGATTCGGGCCAGCCTTCTTGGCATCATCAGATAATACGCAACCGCAAGCGTGTCATTCATCAGAACGGATTGGAAAGGAAGCGACTTGAATAAAGGAATGATCAGACATCACTATGACCACAAGAGTTATCCTAATTAGTTAATACTGGAAATATCTTTTGGTGTGAATTCAGCAAGTCGTCACTAGGACAAAACACCCCCACCCACCCGCCCATTCCAATGACTCGAGTGGTCACTAGGCATGGCGCCACGAGAACGGAATCGATCTGCGCGAAAGCCACTCAGGACACCCGGCCGAGCCCAAGTGCTCATTTGCAATTTTACGTCCATCGACTAACGTATTGGCAGAAGGAGTATTTTTGAAGAGTTTCCCGAAGTTCTATACTGCGGCCGAGGCATATGAGGGATTTTTGAGTGGGCTTTTCGAAAATTATTCCTTGATATGTGGTTCTCGAACCAACCGATTTCTTGGCGAAGTACGAAGCGTTTGAAACAAAGTTGGAGATTGTTAATAAGGTGTCAATGCTCTTCTTCAGCATGATTTCCATCGATTTTTTAAAGCCTTGCCAATGAGACAGGCTACTTGTACTTCCTGAGATGGGAAATGCGCATATGTAGATTCTAATTTCAATTTTCTGACATATTCTGGAAGTCTCGGCCACTCTCGGCCGAGAGAGAGTGTGTTAGAAAAACGCTCAGAGCACAATTTAGAAATTGGAAGTCTTGTGCTTTCAAAAACTGCCTTCAATTTTTGGAACGGTTATCAATGAAGAAAGTTATAGTCCTCTAGTCTTTAAAGGAAAAAGGAGAGCCTAATCTGAGCAGAATTGAATCTAGCATTTGGATCAAGCCGCATTTGCGTGGCAGTGGCGCTGCGTCCCTCTCGCACATCTGAAACTAGCATTTTTTGATATGAAACCGGATGTGCAGAGGACAAAAAGGGGTCGTATCAGAGTCCATGTTTTGGAGGGGGGTCGTAAAGAGGCGGTTATTTCCTCGACACGATTTTCACCCTGGTCCGAGGTCCGTATTGAGGTGTTCTGATCGGCGCAGCTCTTCTTCATCGGCAGCGTACCAGAGAGATGGAGTGTTTTGTTCCCACGAGATTTCTCAGCATATCACCTTTGGACTTCCATTCGCGATACGTGGTCGTGAGTTGTCAACCAAAATAACGGCGCATCTACAGTGAGCCGCAATATTGCGAGATCCGCAGCAATTCCACACAGCTGTAAGCAGTAGATGTCTGCGCTAGCAGTGGTGCCATCGTTCGAGGGGTGTAGTGAAGTACTCCAACGAACAGAGAACAGGTCCCTCTATGGGTGGGTCTCATTTCCAGTGCTCACTTTGCTGAGCTGCGTCTAACCAGTGGGGCCACCAAGCTCACCCTCATGCTCTTCTCATGTACTCCGACGACTTCCCGAGGACTCTGAAAGCAACAACCTCATCAAAATTGTAAGGCAGTAGCGGCCAAAAATGAGATTGTGAAACCGAGTTGACTAAAATTGAAAAAAGAAGCAAAACAAATGAGTGTCAATACGCTTCGGGTCTCTCGAAATAAGGGAAGGGCACTTCCGATTGAGTTGTCTGAACTTGCCTATGTCATGGCTTCCATAATCCGCGCGTATTTATATCAGCCGCTACGTCGTAAATGGGGGATGCGTGAAGTATGCCCACTAGCCCACATTAGCCGTCATTAGCTCACCTTGTGAGACCCTAGCGCAATTGTCGTAGACTTCCGAGCTGCAACAACAGCACAGTTGTGATACTCGCGCGCTTCTTTCCTTCAACACGACTTCATTTGGGGTTGTTGCTTTGAATAGTGACACGATTTGTGATATTTCCACTCTTGTCCGCCTCAACAGGTAGACATGCTTTGAGAGAGACGGGTTTAGTGCTGGCAGAGAGTAGTACAGATGCTCTTGTTCCTGCACACGAGAGACCGTCAGAGTCCCTACACAACATATTGGTGAGAATGGCACAAACCTATTTTGGCAAGATTGAAAACGGTTTGAAGAAAACCGGACATTAGTTGTGACCCGAAATATATTAGCGCACTTTACAGGGCCGTTACTCAGGACAACTCCAGAAAAAAACCATTTGCCTTTGATGTACCCTTTACCAGACGGAGCAAAGGATCCAGTTCCTGAGAACATATTTATTTGTAGTGATCCGTGTTAAACCGGTGTCAGACTGCGAGTCCAGCGAATCGCGGGGCATAATCGGCTACTCGAGGAAGAGAACGTGTGTAAATAATGTTTATGTATAAGATCAAATTTGTGTTGAGAAAAATATGTAAACATGCAGAGAATTTTCGGGCTGGGCATCGATGATGGTACAGCGTCCCTGAACACATTTCATCACAGTCACTTACTAGTGTGAATTGTACATAGTCTATTTTTATCCTGCACCACACTTACACAGTGCTTAAATCAGATTCTAAAGAGCTCTAAATGTGATATGGTATGGTGCTGTTTCGAAATGTCATGATGATCATCATTTAGGTCGTATATCGACTAGACTTTTTCAACTGGAAGATGAGCTGGAACAGCGCCGATTTCGAGATAAGGTATGCATTTAAAGAACCAGCTTTATTTTTGACCCCTCTCTTTAACTTTTGTGTGATAGACTTCTTATGATAATTTGGAGGAAACAAGAAGGCCTGTTTTTTTTTCTTGCCACTGTGTAATTCAAAGTAATTCGATAATCCTTAAACAATTTATGGATAAAGAGCTATGTCCGATCCTCAGTAGATAAAATCCTTAATATCCTTTAAACAGTAATAGTGGAAGATTCTCTTTCAAACTTAGTCATTAGGTTGTTCGGGAACAGATGTCAGTTGTACGATGCTACGTTCTTTGCACAAATTTTGACAGCAAATTAATTCATGAAGTATTGTTGTTGTAATTATTTAGAAAGCTTATTTCACGCAATATCTTATGGTATATTTTATTAGCATTACTCGAATATTGGCGGATTTTTAGCTCGGAAATAGAAGTATCAGAACAAGGCCTTAAGCTCGGTCGAGATGCAGCAGAAATCGTTTGAAATATGAGCGAAATGTGGGGTCAAGGATGAGCGATCGAAAGAGCACTTCACAGTAGAATTTTGACTTATTTTTCTTCGTTATACTGTTTAAAAAAACTTCACAATAGCTTTCAAAAGTTCCATCGTGGCGAATTTGATCTTCAAGATGAGGAAGGTCGCAGGGCTTCCCCACTTTCTTTAGGATTTGAGGCGCGGCCGCGGCGAGCACGGACGAGTCCACAGTGCCTGCGAACTGTGCGGGTAAATTTGGAAACGCTTAACGACCACAGTTCGCGGGCACGGACTCGTTCCGCGCTCGTCGCGGCCGCGCCTCTAATCGTGAAGAAAGTGGGGGAGCTTTGGTCCACGACATCATTGTGGTGTCGAAACCCTTAAAAAAAAAAAAAAAAAAAAAAAAAAAAAAATCTGAAGGAAGCGTGAAGAAAATACCGCCGCCTGCGCAAGGGATGGGGATGGCAAGTCAAGAATTGTAAACAAAAGGTTCTCTAGGAATTGAGCAAGCAGCAATGGAATTGTCAGTGTGACGTGCCGTCGGTACTTTCTTGTGCACCCAGAACGACTCTTTTTCTGATCGTTGTAACGTGTGTTAGATGGATTGTACAAGGTCATAAATAAATAAGATGTTCGGAAATTAATTTTCGAAAGCTACTGTTTCACCTAATTTTCTCTTTTCCCTAAAAGTAGTTGGTTGCAGGCAAGGTTTCTTTATCTTCTTCATTGGCTGGAGAAAGCTATCAACCTATTAGCCGTTCGTGGCATGTCTTGGTGGGACCCAGGGTCAAGCGTGCGTTGAGGAATCCTCGACATGTCACAGAGGGGGGGGGGTCGTATTGGCCCGCTGGGGAGAGATCGGGCCCGATTGATACAGTAGGATCATCGTCGGAGGACAAACATTAAGGATCGAATCGATACCAGGCCAGAGTATTTCCAATAACAATTGATTCCGTCCACACAAAATCTTCGTGATTTAGAGGTGTCCGCTTAGCAATTCTTAGTGACTTTAGTGTTTCATCACCACACAAGTCAAAGGATCCGAAATTCGCACGTTTTCTAGGGATATTTTATCTTTCAAGTAGGTCCTCAAATCCAACGAGATGTGAAGCACACGGCGCATCCCAGAGTGGGCCCAGTTGGTTGCGCGCGCTTCAGCTACGGCTATCTTGATAACGAATCTTAATTCAGGAAGAATCAAGAGGGTTCTGAAAGAGTTCATGTTAAATTACAGAGAGGAGTACACTATTCAACAAGAAACGCAGCCTTCAGCGTCAAATTCACAAGCATGTAACCTTTAAAGTTGAGACCGCTAAACAATTTTACACTTTTTGCAGAGAGAAAAGCACGAGGATTTTGAATCTGCTCCTACTTCAGTATGTAATCGCTCCTGCAAGGAGCTATAGTCGTTGGGATAGTGCTAATGTAGCGAAAAAGTACCTTTCGGCGGTACTCGGGCAAAAATCCTCAACGTGGCCATTTTTTAAATAGTGAACGTATTTAGCAGTTTTAGTTGCCTATAGAAAGAGCAAATCTTCTAGTTTATGATGACGTATTAGCTTTCCAGATTGCATGAGTTTGAACGGAGTTATGGCTTTGGAAAGCGTAAAAACTCGCACTCATCACGAATTTTCCTCGTTAATTTTGCAAAAATCCTCAACGTGGCCATTTTGTTTATTTACTATATGTAATTATCCGTTCGGCGGCAACCGCTCTGATAGAGAAATCTTCTTTTGTATGACGTATCAACTTTTTGAATTTGACGGAAATGAAGCAAGTTATTGCTCCGGAAAGTGTAAAAACTCGTGCTCGTCTCGAATTTTCCTCGTTATTTGATCTAAATTTGTTATTTCTTATAACTTCCTGTAATTTCAGTATTAGAAAAAGCTCTTCACAAAACTCCCAAATCAGCTTTCAGATTGAAAATTCGTTAACTTTGAAGAAAGTTATAATCATTTGAATATTTGTTCAAATTTCAATAGTAAATAAGCTGCTCCACGGTCAACGCCAAAGTCCAGTCAACACACAGCTGGCGAAGGCGTTTACAAGGCTTCTGAAACGGCGCGAAGGCGGACGTGGTAATGGTAGAACGACAATCTGGTTATTACTAGAATGTGGTGGACTCCTGTTTGGAGGGAATTAAACAGAAGAATACAGTGTGTCATAGTAGCAGGCATTCTAGTGACTGTGGACGATTCTCTTGCCTCCGTTTCGTGTTGGTCCGTGCACAGGGACTCGTCGGTATTAATTGACTTTTTCACTTTTATACTTTTTAAACGAGTTTTTTTGTGGACGATGGGGTAGCAGGGCTTTTTTATGAGCAGTTTTGGTGGAGAATTAAACAACTTTTTCATAGTTCGGCTTTTAAAGAGGGTTGTTTCATGGACTTCGGCCTTCGGCAGAGGGGGGGGGGGGTCGTATTTCCGAATTTTCCTCGACGCCTCGCTTGACCCTGGCGAGCCTGTGATATCTGCATGCAAGAGACAGGGCCCCAGCTACCTGTCAGGTGCTCTAGGAAGTTCGTGCATTTTTTGCGATCTTCCCCATCTGGCCAAATTTTCTTTATAAAAAATTAAAAAAGTCCACGTAGGCTTGGAGAGAGGAAACGCTACTAGAACTTGTAACCTGGATCATGCCACTGTCGGTTCTTCGATTCAACGTTGAAAGAGAAAAGGGCCAAGTTCTTTCACGCTCTGATTCAGGAACCTCTAATTAGCCAAAAACCGATTGAAGCCGGAAGTAACATCTGCTTTGCAGTACACCTTATCATTGCCAGCCATAAGGTATCAGAATGGATGGATCTTCTTTACTCAGGTGTCCTCTGGTCACTATTCACTACACCGTGATGTTTCTGGTGCGTAGTTCATAGAGGCTCTCGCTCTTTTGCAGAATGATTGAAGTCTTGCAAAGATTCCATCGTGAATTGCTGACAGATTGACCGGAGCGATCCACGTCAGATTTTACTATAACTTGTTTCCTACTCCACGCGCCCGCACTGGTTGAGCGAAACCGCTACTGCATTTGAGGAGTACAGGTTTCATAACAATTGTACCCAGAAGCGCCAGGGACTGGATCGAACAGAGGAGAGTGAAAAGTGAACAAATTCACAGAAAGGTCATGCTCTGTCTCTTTTGGTCACTCGTTCTACGATGATACATCTATAGCGAAATCATTCTCCCTCTTACAAGTCTATTTGCGACACACCTGCAAAGACTGACGGGGAATCTCCGACAATTACCCTTAAAAATTGAAAAATTTATCCACTCCACGACAATCGAGTCCACACGTTTCGAAAAAGAGGCGGCTTCTAGTTTACCGAAGCCTAGCTGAAGAATCCTACCGTGTACTACGTGCAGCAGTTATCAGCCTTCTTTCGGATGACGTCTGCCCTTCTTGTTCAGCCATCATCTGAGGACAAAAAATACGATTTCATTTCAAAGTATCGTATTTAAATTGAACCAACCTATAACCCAGTAGAAAAGCTGATTTCAGGCCTGCTAACTTTATGCAAGTCTAGCACATTGAAGAAAACTCTTAAAGTCGTAAGGAATTCTTTCCCAATTCGGACATTTTCCTACATTTTCCTTCGAATTCATCAGATTTTCGCCCACATTAGTAACACTTTTTCTAGCAGATGTCTTTGCGGCTCCTCCTGTAGTGATTCTGTGATGTTTGAATCAGGGACCGACCTGGCTATACCATTGAAAGCACCACATAACGACGAAACCATTCATGCATGTGAGGGTACGATGATTTTAGCAGTTGCTCTACTGAAGAACGGAGTCAATGTCGTGCATGCCTACGGATACATAACTCCATAGAAACTAACATCCCATGTCTGCCTTTGTTACTGCCACTCTCCTGAAACGTGGTCCCACCTTTCCAAGGGAACCTTACTACCTTCGATGCGTTTGCAGCTGGAGCTTTAAGAGCAAAACGTGCTCCTTGTGGGTGCCGTACATAACTAGCACCCTCATTGCCAAACATCATAAAAACATTCTCGTCGTTCAAGGTGATGTTGGAACGCTGCAAGAACCTCCATCCAGGCTTGACCTGGTACCGTCTACTTATACATAGTAGTCACTTCACAGCGCGCACTTATCATAGGCTTCGAGAAGTGATGCATGCCTAGTATACAGGGGTGGCCAAAAAAAGAGACACTTTGCCCATGGCGCACATCATCAAACTTTTCGTCGCACAGGGAGCCGATGTTAATGAAAGTTTTACGGCGGAATATTCCTTAGGTGTTTCTCCGTAACACAAGCAGGCCCTACCTCAACGAGGCTTACCGTAATTGCTCCGTCCTGAAGCTGCTACATAATTTCTTCAATGGATTAACTGTTGAATAGCTTCCAGAGACATTAGCTGTGACTATGCAAAACCGCTTTTGACCAGCGTTTCAGGGACGTCGTAATGGTCTATGGTACCTCGACGACCTCGTTGAGCTCGTACCGTGAACCATGTTTCCGTGGGAAAATCTTCTGATGTCGTCGGTGTAGAAGGCTGTCATGTAACTTTTAGATAGATTAGAATGTGCTCTTC